TATCGAAAAATAATTTTAAAATGAGCATATTTTTAGAATAAATAAATGTGCACGAGATACACAGTCTCATGCGATCTAGTTAAAAATGTTTTTTTTTTTCGTACAGTGTTGCCATTCCTCGCTTTCAAATCTCTGAGTTTGTTAATTAAGAATTCGTTAAAGTTTTACAAATTATGAACTGAATAATAAAACAAATTCCAAATTTGGGCTTCCAGATGCTCATATTCGAATGGAAACGTACGTTATTCAAATGGCACTAAGTATCGTTGTTTTATCACAATGCGAGAAACATAGATACATTTATGCACATTCCTCATTATTTAATTTCCTTAAATATAACACATGGCTCTAATATTTGGTGGCAAGAATTTGAAAAGTGACCGACATTTATAGTGAACCAACGCAAAATGCCAAAACGAAATTAATAGTCCTTCAGGGAAATTGCCCCTTTGGACTAAAAACCTATTCGCTCTACAGTTATTATCCCGCGTAAACGGTATAGTGGTAGGGAAGCCTACTGCGGTACCGAAGGGCTTGGTTCGAAATCCGGAGAAAGCGTGGATTTTTGTAAGTGTATAGTGTCTCTGAGGCATAGATGCACTCTTTATCGCGAACCGAAAGTCCTCTCGTGTGGTTTGGTGGTAGGAGAGCAGGTGGGAAACCCTCGGACCATGCTCCGGAGCGCTGTCCTTCAATACTGGGGTGGAAGTAGAAGTCTAACGTCCTTGAACCTTTGGCAGAGCAACAAGACAACAAAAACAGCAGCTATTATAATGGATGTTCCTCAAATGTCTAATTCTGAAAGAGACTTAAAACACATTTCATATTCCAGAGCACTCTTAAAATTCAAAGTCAGTGGCTAACGGTAAATTGTAAATGTAATACAGTAATAATCACCAGCAGATTACCAACCGGTGGGCAGAAATAATAAGGTTATGGGCTGTTGGAAGTTTAAGACGGATTCAAATCTAGGCGAATGGAGCTGATTGCACGAGTGTTTTCGACATCTTCATCATGTGAAAAATGTCTACCTACACTTTTATAAATTTCTTTGCTTCTCTATATGATCACTATCCCGTTCTTTCTACATGTCGCTTAAATGAGTTGTGATAAGACAGATTAAATCCGGGCTGGAATCTTAAAATTTAATGGTATTGAATTTCACTGCTTTCGTATCTTTGTGAAATCGGTTCTAAATTTCTAACTTATTGTCTTTACATATATACCACAGTTGTGATATTTGGAAGTGTTCGTGTGATTTCTGGATATTTTTATTAATTCAAACAGGTTACTGGAGAAAAAAAAAACTGAGTACAAGAATTATTAAAAAACTATTAATTCCTAACATATAGTTTTTATAAATAAAGCAGAAACGTTATATAAAGAAAGCAGAAACGTTTATTTTTACAAAACATTTTCCGAGCAACTGACAGTATCCTAGAAAAGTCTTGGATTCCACGTAACTCAAATTTAACATTGTTAGAGCTATTGTATAATATATATAAACATAAATTTTCTGAAAGTATGCAAAACATGTCTGAAGTACATGCACTCTAATTTGTCTACCTCAAGAGAGGAGAAGTTGTATTTACTCTACGTATCAACAACGTAACGACCATATATCAACAATGTAACAATGTAACCATCCATGATCATCAACAATGTAATAATATAAGTACCCATGATTAGCGGTCACCCGTCAACCTCAAATGTAAATGGGGGCTCTTTACACAATTTATGTAAAGTTAAAGTTAGCGTAATCTTATTCATTTAAAAATTGTTGATAATTCGGCAATGTATTTTTTCTCGAAAGATTCTGCGGGTATATTTCATAATTCATACCTATAATAATTAACATTTCTTCTATGGTAAACTGGAAGTCAAAAACACAATTTTAAGCTGAAATAATCACTAACGATTATCAAAGCATCACTAAGATCGCAGTTTGCTAGAGACTGAAAGAGATTTATATACTTTTGATGGGCTGTATGTAGAACTTCGAAAAGAATAAAATTTATCGATTGCTTTCCATGTTTCCTGTTGATCAGAATTACTGTAACAATTTTAAGAGCCCAGAAACATACTGAACCACTAAACTTCAATCAAAACTGGCACACACCACCTGTTGAGCAGATAAACAAAAAGATATTTGCATCGTTGATAAGCGGACTTCAAAGGGAAAAATTTCTCTGCATTGATATATGAACGTTATGTTAGTTGCTATTCTTAGTACGACTGATTACTGCCCAGTTACCTGAAAATCAGCCAATAATCAAAAGAACATGTTTAACTTAAAGACACATAACACGGTTGCAACGGAGCATTATTAATATTCATAGTTTTTTTTTTTTTTTTTTTTTTTTTTTTTTTTTTTTTAATTTTGGATGCGAATTATAGTATTGAGGAAGCAGACTTAGTAAAGTTTTATCAATGCAATTTGCAGAGTCATTAGGTTAGTTTAAAGCAGGAGACTCGAAAAATGAGCAATGGCTTCTCCGGGACTCGAACCCGGACCTCTCGAATACGCGCCAAGTGTGCTACCGTTATACCACGAAGGCATGCTGAGAGGAGGACGAAAATACCTTATAAATTGGTAAATGATATTAGAAGCGTCTTTCATTGATTCTAGCAGTGATATAAATTGTAATAATCTTCCTTCGTTAATAAGCTTGATTCCATTAAATTATGTGTCAAAATGCTATGAATGCATACATATTGCTTGTAGCTAATTTTGTAGCACTAACTAAGATATAGTGTTGGGTATAATTTGAAAAATAGATGTTTATTATCCACAGTGCTTTCAGATTTTTTTTCCGCCGGATGTATGACCTAAGTGAAGTGACAATATCAGGAACTTTGGTCGTTAAAAAAGGCAATGCTTTTGGATTAAAAAATTATTTTTATGCTAGTTAAATTAATTGCATACTATATTGTGCAACGATTAAAATTTTAGAACTACTTTTTTTTTTTCTGGGTATACAATGATCGTGCAAATCTATATAGCAATGCGGTTAGAACACAGTTAAATTTTGTTTCTAAATTTCCATAGTTCAAAAATATAACTAACATAGTTCTTATCGGCAAATCCCTAAAATAATTCTTGGAAAAAATAAATTCTGTAATATATTAACTAGGGTTTGCTATCCCCCACGCAGATTATTATCGTGTAGTGAAATGAATTCACTTATTAAATTTATAATCACATAAATTTATTAAAATAACTAAAATATGAAATTAGTTGCTCTAAAAATCAAAATTAGTAGCTTATAAAATAGTCATGCCCATGAAATATTTATCACTGTTTAGTAACTCTACTGTAACTTACAGCTATTTAGTTACTGGGAATATACCAGTGAAATTACACCTTTGAATAAAAAATCAGGTGGAATTATTAAACAGTCACGCCCATGGAATATTTATCACTATTTAGTAAGTTCCTATAACTTATAGTTATTTAGTAACCTACTTGGAACATACCGGTGATATAATTTTGAATAATTGCGTAGGATAGTTATTAAATAGTCATGCCCATGTAACAGTTATCACTATTTAACTAAGCTTCCATAACTTATAGCTATTTTGTAACCTACTGGTAATATACCAGTGAAATTACAACCTTGAATAAACTGTCTGGTGGAATTAGTGAACAGTCATGCCCATGAAATATTTCTCGCTATTTAGTAAGCTCTTTTAATTTATAGTTATTTAATAACCTACTGGAAACATACCAGTGAAATTATAACTTTGAATATCTGCTTAGGGTAATTATTAAATAGTCATGCCCATGAAACAGTTATCACTATTTAAGTAAGCTTCTATAACTTATAGCTATTTAGTAACCTACTGGCAATATACCAGTGAAATTACAACCTCGAATAAATTGTCTGGTGGAATTATTAAACAGTCATATCCATGAAACATTTATCGCTATTTAGTAAGATCCTATAATTTATAGGTATTTAGTAACCTACTGGGAACATACCGGTGAAATTATAACTTTGAATAACTATCTAGAGTAATTATTAAATATTCATGAAACATTTATCACTATTTAGTAACTCTACTGTAAAATACAGCTATTTAGTAATCTACTGGGAATATACCAGTGAAATTACAACCTCGAATAAATTGTCTGGTGGAATTATTAAACAGTCATGCCCATGAAACATTTATCGCTATTTAGTAAGATCCTATAATTTATAGGTATTTAGTAACCTATTGGGAACATACCGGTGAAATTATAACTTTGAATAACTATCTAGAGTAATTATTAAATATTCATGACATGAAACATTTATCACTATTTAGTAACTCTAGTGTAAAATACAGCTATTTAGTAATCTACTGGGAATATACCAGTGAAATTACAACCTCGAATAAATTGTCTGGTGGAATTATTAAACAGTCATGCCCATGAAACATTATCGCTATTTAGTAAGATCCTATAATTTATAGGTATTTAGTAACCTATTGGGAACATACCGTGGAATGAAATTATAAACTTTGAATAACTATCTAGAGTAATTATTAAATATTCATGAAACATTTATCACTATTTAGTAACTCTACTGTAAAATACAGCTATTTAGTAATCTACTGGGAATATACCAGTGAAATTACAACCTCGAATAAATTGTCTGGTGGAATTTATAAACAGTCATGCCCATGAAACATTTATCGCTATTTAGTAAGGTCCTATAATTTATAGGTATTTAGTAACCTATTGGGAACATACCGGTGAAATTATAACTTTGAATAACTATCTAGAGTAATTATTAAATATTCATGAAACATTTATCACTATTTAGTAACTCTACTATAAAATACAGCTATTTAGTAATCTACTGGAAATATACCGGTGACAATATAACCTTGAATAAAGTGTCTGGTGGAATTTTGACTAAATCGCCTTCGAGAGCTTATTTCTGAAAGTTGGAGAAACAATTTTTTACAAGAAAAATTTGAATTGGAACAAAAGTGAAAAATTAAAAACACCTTACCTAATTTTACATTTTCTGCAAAAGTTTTACTTCAGGAAATCCTATTTAAATATCCACAATGTTTAAAGCAACACTCTGTATAATAGATCCTCTACTTTAGTTTGAAAGAAATCCTATTGTGATTCAGTGATCAGTCTAAGCTGCGACTATTGATGACTCTGCATGGATCCGCGTGGGATTTCGAAGTCTTCCCAACCCTTTGCATAAGCAAAAAAAAACTACGAGACTCCTGCACGCGGCAACAAAGAGCAATGGGAGTGTTCCGAGTTGATATTCCCTCCTTGCGACACCGTTTTTTCCCCATACGGGTGTTTACGGTTTCTTCAAAATTGGCAAGGCGCCATGTTGATGGTTTCTAGCGCTGAGGTATATTTCCCGATTGTTGTCAACTGTAATGGAAATCCTTGTGATTACAATGAGCCGTCCCATTTCTTTTTAGTTACGGAAAAGAGGGTTAAACTTCTCATCAAAAAATAATATTCTTTTCTCGAAATTGCGTGAGAAATAAAAAAAAAATATACAATTTCTTGTAATAGATATACTGATCGCATTATAACACGTACGATATCGTAAAATTTAGCATTAAATATATCAGAAAAGCCGTACTTTTAGCCTTTTATTAATTAGGCCAAAGCGGCAATTTGCCCAGAAGGATTATTAATTTCGTTTTGGCATTTTGCACTAATTGACGACAAGCGTTGTTTCGCTTTTCATATTGTTGCCATGAAATATTATCGCCCTGTATTATATTAAAAAAATTAAATAATGAAGAATCTGCATGAATGTATGTATGTTTCTCGCACTGTGATAAAAACAACGGTACCTAGAGTTACCAAAATTTGAATAAGGTAATTTTCCAGAGAATATGAGCATGTGGAAGCCCTAATTTGAATTTGAAATTTGTTTCAATATCGATTTTATATTGTGTAACACTTCAACGAATTTTTGATTTGAAAACTGAACGATTTCAAAGCGAGTAGTGGCAAAACTATATGAAAAAAAAAAAAAAAAAAAAATCTCCAGCGCGCGAGACTGTGTATGGGAAATTCTACAGATATGATCATTTTAAAATTATTTTGCGACATTGCTGTTGAACTGAATTTTATGGTTTAAGTGCGAAGAACATGATATTTAATAAATAAAGGTAACACACAAATTGTTAAAAAAAGGCCTCTTTGGAAGTAATTAAAACCTTCCTGAAAATCTGAAAAAAGATTTCTTTTAAATCTTTCTGTTATGTTTTTGTTAACTCATCTTATGCCTAGCTACCAATTTACATGCCTAAAATTTTCATGGTTATAAAATTAAATGAATATATATGAAAGACTTACAACAATATAAATAAAAAGTAGAAAGTGAACTCCATTAGCAGGTAAAAGTAAAAACACTTGCACAATTTCTTCCCAAAATTTCCGCTATGAGAGAGCTTAGATTTACCGACTTGCAGTGTGAATACAAATCTGCTCTCATCAGAAAATTCTTCACGAAATCATCTCATCTCTTAAGCAGATATACTCTTTACCATAATGTATTAAATCAAAAGTACCAAAATTTAACGTATCTAACCTAGTACTTTTACATGAGGTAATAATACATTATGTAGTCTACTTCTGGTTTTAATAAATCCTGTTGTGATTGCGACGTTGAGGCCCACCAGCGGCCGAGCGGTAAAGTCGCTGAACACTGGTAGTTCCGAGGTTCGAATCCCGCGAACGGGCTGGCTGCATGGGTGTTTTCGTGGTTTTCCCCATGTGTAACGTGTATACGAGCCAGTTTCCATTAAAAAGTCCTCCACGAAGGCATCCCTCCCCTTAGGAAGATAGCCCTAGTGTGCTTTGCTATAATTAAAATACACCAAATACACCGATTGCGACGTTGAAGCGTTCATGTTAAAATTAGCAATTAAATACGACTTAATCAAAATGTATAGTGAATAAAATTTGATTTACTTATCGTAGCATAGTTATTGCCTATAAATAGATTTTATAGACGTGTGTTTCTTATTCAGTATGTGCGTGATGTAATTCAACCATGATACTGTGAAAATAAACGATTTCCTGTGGTGTGAATTAATCGAAGAGGAAAAGAAGCATATTTTGTGAAGAGGGAATTTAACATTTTCCTTAAAAAATGGTAGAGGGATTGAATCACTACTTTACAACACCTGAATAAAGGATAAAAGTCCACATGCATGCTCTTTCAGCGCTTCCTTCTCTACTCGAAATTCCTAGATAAAAGTGAAATTAACTGATGCGGTTTTTTCCTGAAATTGTAAACTCAACGAGTAGAAGGTCATTTTCTATATTAATTCCGGTATCGATTAAGATACTTCAGGAACATACGTGCAATATTCTTTCAGATGGTCTGACGCTCCCCTTACTTGTTTTTAGAAGAGGAAAACAATATTGTTACGAATTATGCATTGAAATAGCTATTTTAGTAGAATTACGATTAAAACTAACTGGATACCAGCCCACTTTGTTGGGCACACTATCTATTTGAATGTGAACCTAGACTTTTCATATGGACCAAATGTCTAATTTCGAATTGATAATTAATGCAAATTGCTTAAAGTCGGAAAATATAGCGCCAGTGAGTGAATCTGCCATACACAAATTTCCCCATCACCCACGAGGTACTGTGTATTGGGATGCGTCCCCATTATTTAACGTGGCGGGACCCCCAGTAGGCCGACACCATGAAAGCCCACCAGCGGCCGAGCGGTAAAGTCGCTGAACACTGGTAGTTCGGTCCGAGGTTTGAATCCCGCGAACGGGCTAGCTGCATGGGTGTTTTCGTGGTTTTCCCCATGTGTAACGTGTATACGAGCCAGTTTCCCTTAGAAAGTCCTTCACGAAGGCATCCCTCCCCTTAGGCAGATAGCCCTAGTGTGATTTGCCATAATTAAATACACCACACCACACCACTGACACCATGAAAAATTGCCAACAAAACTAAGGTTTATATATATATTTAACTGTTATCATAATTTTCATGAAAATAAATGTTATTATCTTTGTTATCAGATTTTTTAATCAATTATAAGTATTTGTGCTGGATTTTTGATGTATGGCAATTTTTATAAATAACAACAACATTTTTATTTTTCATCACAATAATTTATTTCTCTTAAGAATAACATTTATTTTCATGAAACTGATTATGACAGTTAAATAAAATGTTAGTATTAACCTTAAATGTTGTTTGTATTCATTGGATAGATGCAAGTTATTTACCAGTTTAATAATTTTAAAGGAAAATGCATTCATTGGCAACATTGTATTTCATATCTAGGTTTGGCAACAATAAAAAAAAATTCTGAACTTAAGTTTGAAAACCAAATGTATGAGAAACGTCTATTGTATAACAAAACTCCCTTTTGGACAGGATTTACGTAAAATCCGTTCTACATCGTGAAATGAGTAACTATGCAAAATTGCAAGTCAATCGGGTGCATAGTTTCGGAGATCTCGGGATGAGTCAGTGGTATTTCGCTTATATATACATATATGATGTACCAGCCTTTGTCCGGAATAGATAGATTGGTGAAGAATCATAGACGTAGTCGAAGCTCAAAGTATCAGACGATAAGTTTAAAAAAAAAAAAAAACAGGATCCATTTATTATTATTCAGGAGAAATAGCAGTTACAAAAATCAGATCTCCGGATTAAATAAAAAAGAACTACTAATAACTTTTTGTATGAAGTTTACTGCATCGTTACATTAAAGAAAAGACCCCGATATTCCTTTGCGAGTCCTTTTATAGCGTCTGGAAAGGCAGAGCTTCCAAGAAATGACGTCAGCCTCATCAGACATTCCAGTTCGCTTTAAATATTCTCCAGAACATTCTATAAACTGTACGTGTAGAAAAGTAGGGAAAAACAACTTGACTACGGGGCTGTGGATTAATTCCCACGTACTTTCAAATAAGACCGTCGCATTAAACATGAAAAGAACATACAGTTAGAATTTTAAGTGTATTCTGACTATGGAATTTATTATTACATATATATATATGTAATAATAAAATGATGAATTAGCATCGAATTAGCTTTCTCTTTGCACCGTGTTGTATTCTAACGCTTTTAGTAGTTTGAAGTATAACTACTGATTATATTGCGTGATATTGTGAGCACTTATGCGAACATCTCCGGGAGAAAATTCAAGCTTTCTGATATATTTTTCCTGATAAGAATAAATGTTATTAACATTTTATCGGACTTGTGCATTCAAGCTATTACGAATCCATACGTACGCAACAATATGAGAAGTATGAGATGATACATGATGATTATGGGCCCGGTTCTAGACAATAATAAAATTCTGGTCTTATCCTATTCATTTACAGTTTTCTTAGTTACGATAGTATTATATGGAAGGTTATATAACAATTTTGAATATGCTGACATATAGTTTCCTAACAATATGCTAACTTCCGAATATGATTTTATAATATTTGTAACCATGTCTTAAATATCATTGTAAAATGATAACTGAGCAAATATAATTCATGTACGTTATTATCAACTCAACATACAGACTTTTATCGATGAACGAAAATATTTCTTTACTCTTTGATTCGTATAAAGTTACTAATCGAGCAAGAAAGTGAAAATTAATGAAGCGGAACAAATGAGAAAACTAATAGTAACTTCAGCTATCGTTTTAATTCAGTTGTTAATACAGGAGGATAAAAATAAAATTTCAAGATAATATGTAGAAGTACAAAATTTATCGCATTCAGTAATTACGTTTTTATTCACTTTTCAACAACATAGAAAGTTATACAAAAATGACTTTTACTTCAAGAAAAGGAACAATGTCATGTTTTAAAAGCTCAAATTTAAGGCTATATAAATTTACAGATACTTAGTAAAGATGTATAGATGTTTATTTTTTGCACGTAAGCATACGTTACTCAGTGCATCAAGATAATAACATACTTTGCAGATTGATTATGACTTTTGTAAACAGCGCCTGCAGTCTGTAGCAATTTTTTCAAATCGGTGATTACTTGAGATAAAATATGAACATACGTTTTACAGAAATTCAGAGTGTTCACATAATGACAAACAAAACAGTGAATATGACTATAATATCAATGGTAAGCTTTTACAGAAAAGGTTAGCCATCTATACAACACAATTCTTAAATTAATACATTATAATTCTTAAGCTTATTCATTCATTAATTCATCTGCCCTTGTTGCACTGTAAATACTTTTAGTAATTTCAATAAAGTTGCT